GCCGTCTCCAGCCATTATTAGTCTCAAAGTGGGTTCCTCGTCATCGAATGAGGAATGTAATACCTCAAATCTCTATATACATCAGTTACTATTATTGTTTGATATTTTTCATGTTAAATGCAATCAAAGAAGCAAACGTGATATTAGCAAATTTATGTTGACACTGGTATTGTATGCTTATTATTACATTTTTATGTTTACAGTGGCTGAGTGGTTAATTTGTGGGCTTATAATGCTAAAAGTCTGGGTTTGATAGTGCAAATAGTCTTTAAGCTTAACTATTAAGCAAATAGTCTTTAAGTATAGCTTTAAGCTTAACCACAAACAAACAATGTTTTCAGCTTTTATGATATATGTTCATTATTTAACTATTGTAATTTTTTTATTAAAGAAAGTTATTAAAAGAGAACAAGAAATATTGAAAGTTAACCCATTTATTCCTGCTGTGTTGATATAAAGTGTGACACAAAAATAAGAATGTTTTTATTCTAATTAGGTAAAGGAAGGTCTTTAAAACTTCCACAGTTGATTGACATGTCAGCTCAGATAGCAGCTGGAATGGCCTATTTGGAATCTCAGAACTACATTCACCGAGATCTAGCTGCCAGAAACATACTGGTTGGAGAGAGTAACATTGTCAAAATAGCAGATTTTGGATTGGCTAGGCTTATCAAGGTATCAAATACTACTAAGTGAGGTTATCTATTTTATAACAATATGATAGTTACCTAAACACATAGTATAAAGTAGACTGATAATTGTCATAACAACATGAACTATTACTGCAAGTTGTTATAGCATGGTGACCATTATTTAACTGTTATAAAAGCAAGGAAAGTGAATGTTCTCATGTATAAAATAGAGCTATCTCTGTAGTCTGACATGATTTTTCTCTTGAATATGAGGCCTGTTGGTGTTTAAAAAGCATAATATTGGCATATATTTGAAACTATGTTAGTTCAGGTTGATCTTAATGATGGAAATGAATAACAAGCCAAGTGTGATCATATATAAATTAGTGTTTTCTCTGTTAACAGGAAGATGAATATGAAGCAAGGGTTGGAGCAAGGTTTCCTATTAAATGGACAGCTCCAGAAGCTGCAAATTATAGCAAGTTTTCTATCAAGTCAGATGTTTGGTCATTTGGAATTTTACTGACAGAACTGGTCACTTATGGAAGAATACCGTATCCTGGTAAAAAAATTTTTTTGTTGATTTAAATGACATGGAAGCTTATGAATAAGTTGGATTAGATTTTAAAAAAAATTATGGGTTATAAGATTTCATAATTTATAAAAACAACCTGCTTGTGAATAATTGCAGGATTGTGAGATACCATGTGTTTTGATTTAAAACAAATGATAGCAACTTTTATCATTAAAAACATAGAGAGAGTTAACATGTTTGGTTATTCTGGGTTGCCACAAGAACAGTTGCTAGCATATGCCTTTTGTAAATTTATTTATAAAGCACTAGCTGGAGAACCCATCCAACAGATGGGGAAAAAAAACTTGTTTGTAACAAAGGTTAGAAAAATGAGCATCTTTTACTTTTTTTTTCTTAACATAATAAACTTTAAAAGTGCAATAAAAATACATAAAGATACCAATACTGGAAAGAAGGACATACTGTTTTCAAGAATTCTATCAATATGAAACTAGATGGTGGTATCAAATCCCCCTCTCTCATGCCATCATGTATCACTGTGTCAAGTTTGGTGCTGTTTGATCAAAAGATGTGAAAAGGTATAAGGAACAGATACACACACACACACACACACACACACACACACACACACACACACACATACATACATACATACATACATACATACAGATATATATATATCTTTATATATATTCAGTTTCTTAAAGATGGTATGAAGTGAGTATTAAAAGAATCATGATGTTTTGCTATATGCTAAAGTACAAAACATTTTCAATTTTGATTTGAACCAGAATAGAGCTATTTTGTTCAGTGGTTCCAGTAAATAAGGCAGAGCAAAAATTTACAAACTATTTAGTAGTTTCTGTATTTATTAAAGAAAAACAAGTTTGTTGATGTACTTAGTACTTTACATATTATTTAAAAATTCTCAATTTCCTTGGTGAAGACAAAACTACAGATTTACTCAGTTCTCCTTCATATTTAGTTTAATTCAGCACTGATACATACTAATAATGCCTTGTTAGCATAGAAGGAATGGGATTATAACAAGTAACACTTAAATATATCTTTATTGATACATACCAACCATACTTTGTTAACACAAGAAGAACTGGATTGTAACAAATGATACACTTGAATAAATTTGCATTGGTACATCATATCTAGTTGGTGATTAGAAAGAAAAAATTACATAAATAAATAAACAATTTGGTTTAGTATTTGTATAATATTTTACGTTGTGAATTTTTGAAAATTTTGTGAGAGTTTTTAAAAACATCATAAAATACTTCCTTTCACCTTTAAATTTCTGTATTTTTTAATTGTGCCTCATGTAAATGTATCCAATATTTAGTTATTTTATCACTAAAACTAAATATTGCATCTTTGTTCTAGCAACAGCATACTCATTTTATCATCTGTTAACACAAACTTTTATATACAATGAAAGTAACTATTGAAAAATGAAAGAAAATTTGATTTTTTAAATATTATTGATCAGAAAGTTTCATTTTATATATACAGTTAGGTCTAACTTGTTTTATTTTCATCATTTATTTATTAAATCATGGTAAAATCATTGACTGGTAGAAATACAACTTGTGATTGTATCTAGTTCTACACTTAGGTGATATTTTTTTCAAGTATATTCTTGGACAATTTCTCCCTAATTGTAATTTGTTTTTAATGACTAAGGAGTTCTTGTGCTGATGTCTTGTTTGAGCAACAGTAACTACTAATGCACATAAATAAAAATGTTTTTGTGTCATCTGAATAGTTTCCTGTCACAGAACTTCTGGCTTACAAAACTTAAATATCCTTCCTTAGTGTTTTCTGCTAGAAGAATATTCCTGTAGTTTTCATATAGACATAATATAACACAACAAGGTTATCACAAACAAAATGAATGTCAAAAGAAAGTACAAAAAATTCTCAGGTTTTTGGCTCTTTCTAAGTTTTGTAAACTTCATATTAGAATCCTTTTGTTCTCTGCTGTGAGAACTTTTAGTAGTCATTTTCTCAGAAACCATAAATTACTGCTTACCCAAGGTTTAGTTGCTTTAGTTTGAAGTAGATAGATGGAAATCATTTTTAGCCATCGGCTCTGTCAGGTTTTAAGGCTGAGAGTTACTAGGTACTGACCAAACCCCCCCCCCCCCTTGAGACATCATAAAAGGCTCACTACACCAGGTTTTATAAATACATAATTCAATATATCAGACTTCCTAACTGCAAGCAGGAGTACCACACAGCTCAGTTTTAAGTCCGCTATAGTACATTATTTTCCTGAATGACATAAATTTCCCTGAACTTCTCCCAGACTTATGCTTCACAATTTGTGGATGATATTATGGTTTGGAGTGCATCACAAAAACCTTGCTTAACGACTATGAAAGTTCAAAAACAACTAAACCATATAATTAAATGGTAAAACAAATGATGTGTAATTCTAAACCCAGTAAAAACTCAAGCGATAATGTCTCACTGAGCGAGAAGAAACGTATGTAAAATACATAATATAAACCTGACACTTTACACAAATTCACTTTTTAAAAACCATAAAATTCCTTGGATTAACCATTAATAAAACCATATCTCAGAAATGGCCATAAAAGCAAAGCTAAGATTAGACTACTTATGTAAGATAGGAAGATATGCCAAAGGGTCTAACCCACACACCATTACACTAATCTATAAACTTTACATCAGAACCATATTAGATATGGTTGCATGATGTCATGTGATGTGACAATGAACATAGAAAGCACTATATGTCCAGCAATTAGGATCGCTCACAGACTCCAAGCATATTTACACAAAAGCAATAAATTACAACTTGTCAAAGAATGTATCCCAAGTCTTGCCACTACATTCTACAAAAATCAGAAAAGAAGAACTCTCTTTCAGCAGAACCTCTCAAACTAGCCACTATCCCTGGACGAAATACATATCCCCATATAATTTGATACAGTCCCTCTCAGACCCCATAACCGTGTGAATCACCTTCGATAATTTTACCTTTTATTTCAGATGATGATTAGGCTACCTTAATGGACCTCATCATGTATAGTTCTGTATTATTTGATTAGAGCAACAGATGTGCTGACAATTGTAACATGCTATTTTTGTCTATATGTATACAATCAAATATTGTCCAAACTTAATATGAACTATTCCAGAATATTCTGTTACATGTTCTATTTAAAAGTTTTATATCTTATATAGCTCAAAATTGTATTCTGTATATTTCAAATGAAAGGGACAAAGTGGTAGTCTGCTCTCTTTCGATGCAGCGTGCTTGGCTGATCACAGCTTTTTGTGTAGTCTGGACTCCTAAGTGGTGATAGTTATTTCCAGTGATAATCATTCCCAGCTAAAAGTTCTTGCTTTTACATCCGGCCCAATGAGGATGTCTTCCAATCTTCTTCCCGGCTTCAGTGATGCCTCAATGAGATGGCATTTAATCTAACTAATCAACCTCTTAAGTTGAACTGTCCTAACATTACCTATAACACCCATGTTAGCAATACCACGATCATATTATCAACATATATACCTACCATGTAATATTGTAATGTTTTAGAAATAACATCACAGGAAAAAGAGATGACAGTTTCTGAGTAAATATGAGCTTATACTTTAGGATAGGCAGAAAAGTTCTAAAACAAAAATCTACAAGGGCATCATTTACAGGCAACAACCCTTTGGAGCTGTGAAGAGATCAAAGTTACAGTTTATTAATTCTTAAGTATTTTGAAGTAAAAAAAAAGTCAATAATTAGATTACTACTTTTACTTACATTTGGAAATTTAATATGTGAATGTTCACTTAATAGGGTTAATGGTGAGGAGGAGGAGGAATAGTAACAAGTGATTTAATTGAGTAAATTTACTTCAGATCATGATTTTTCATTTTTAATATGTGTAGTTTGTTTGATATATACACACAGACGAGAAATGGATATGTCAGTTCCTCTACTACTAATTATAAGTTAACATCTAAATTAGTAATTAAATTTATTTTATTTTAAGAAATTATCTTTAATTCAGAAGAACTTGCATTCAAAGTGCTTAGTAAAAGACTAGATACTGGGTTTCAAAACATTTTGGATTGAGCTTTTCAGTCAATAAAAGACGAAAGTGTAGACTAAATGTCAAAAGCTGGAACACTTTCATTTCTTGATGTAACGACAAAACAAATGGCACATTTTCTTTGCTGGTAAAGAATTATACTTATTTGGTTGAATATGATACATCTTTTTTAAATTTCAGGCATGACTAATGCAGAGGTCCTTCATCAGGTTGAACATGGGTATCGCATGCCTTGCCCACCAGGTTGTCCAATGACACTTTATGATGTTATGTTAGAATGTTGGCACAAGGATCCTTTGAAGAGGCCTACCTTTGAAACCCTGCAGTGGAAGTTGGAAGATTTCTTCACCCAGGAAGGATCGGAATATAAGGAAGCTTCTATTGCTTATTAACTGGGAAATTCTAAATGAGGCCCATTACAATTGGATTAAGTAATTGAACTACATGAAAATAAAGTTGCCAAAGTTAGAGTGTTGTTGTATATTTTGGCATCATTCTGACTTAATGGTAAACTGCCCTGTCCATGTTATGATAATTCCTACCCATATTTTTATAATTTTGTAGAGTAATGTGTTTTTGCAGCTATTTATGATGTCCATTTCTCTGTTGTGTTTAAGTTCATCATATTCTTTGAGTAGGAAGTGACATGAATACATCTTTGGTTAGAAGAACATAAAACTCTGATTAATTAATTTAAGTTTGTTTATTTGAAATTGAATTAACTTAATATAAGTAGTCAGGTAACATAGTTATGAATAACATCAGTCTTATAGGTATGACTGTAATATTACTAAGTTAGTATATCCTTTACTATTACAAGTTGTCATATTACTAAGTCAGTTTGTCCTTGACTGTAACAAGTGCGACTTGTCAAGTTAGACATTAGTTGTTACAGTCAAAAGCAATCTAACTTAGTTTTATTACAGGCTGTCATGTTACAGACATAGTTAGATTATCTGTTATTCATACAATTTAACAAGTTGAATCACACTAAAGAGATAAATGAGATAAAACAACTTTTGTGGTTTTGTATGGAATAAGTATAAATCTGTGCACCAAAAATTGAATTGAACCTAATTTGGCAAAGTGAGTGAAATAACATATTGAGTGTAAGAAAATGTCAGAAAGTTTGGTGTAAGTTATCATAGGAATTTAATTGTTATTTTAACATGGCTATTCTATAAAGGTTTAACTAAGAAATTATAGCCAGAGACTGATGTTAATGATTATGAGATAGTAGAATAAATGACATTACCAGCCAGTAACCTATAGTGTTGTATTTATATAAAGCTTTAAGAATTTTGAATAATATAGAGATGAAAAAAGTATAAAGGAACAGAAAAATTTTTTTAAAACTAAAAACCTTGTATAACCTTACAAAGTACAACAAAGTGCTTTAAGAATTAAACATTCTTATCTTGTGAAATGCAGGAAAACTTGACGTAGAAAACTACAAACATTGTCTTATCTTATGAAGTACAACAAAGTATTTTAAAAATTACAAACAGTTTCTAATTTCCTTACTTACAGTCTTAGGCAAGAAAAAAAGACCAAATTTGTTTAATCATTTTTGAGGTCAATTTAGCTAAGTAGCAAAATTACTTAGGTGACCTGCTATTAGAAGCATTGAAAGTATAACTTATTGAAAAATATTACGTTTTTATAGTAGCTATTGTTGCTTCGTCTTGATTGAATCAAAGTGTAGTTAGGATAATAAAAAATCAGAATCTCGGACACTTTGTTTAGAATGAATGATAGTTAAGATCTAACAGGGGAAAAAAAATGTAAGGATTTCCACAGATTAAGTAATAATTACTTAATTAAACATGGCTATTAACCTTGTTAAGTAAACTGATAAAATTATAGATTGTTTGTAGAAGTAAAAGAGACTGATGTATTTAGTACTTCAAGTATGTATTGTTGAGTTGAGGTGTTTAAGCTTAGTCACTTTGTAATTCTTGTATTATTAGTGTATAATCCAGATAATTTGTAAATATGTATAGTGCTACATGTACTTCTCAGATGATTGAAATTTTCATACCTCAATAGATACAAGTTGTAATGCATACTGCATAGCCTGAAGTAGTGAGTACTACAATCAGTAAAATACAGTTTCAAAAGAAATGTGTTAATGGAAATCAAGTTACAATCAACTGAATATAACAAATGGAACTTTCTGATCAACAATAAACATAACTGAAATTCTAAGGGGAAAAGTTATGTTTTCTCAGAAAGGTGTTTCACAATAAAAGTTACAAAGTTTGTGACAGAAAAAACTAATCAAATTTTTTTGTTGTTGTTGTTGCTAAAACTAGATAATATTTAGTAACTTAATCCTATATTACCTGCACTTCCGTTAAGTATTTCCACTGTAAGTAGAAAAACAAATAGATAATGACACCCTACAGGTCCAGAAAGGGTTCATACAATATAAGTTATAACAAAACACTGCATAAACTTACAATTTAACAGTGACCTGGCCTTTCAAGATTGTATCTGGTCAGGCTAAGTAATAACATTTTGTTAACATTTATATCTACCTCTTTTTCATTGTTTAATTCTAATAAATAAAGCTTTTTTTTTATGTGTTTGAATATGGTAAGCTTTCACAATAATATTCAATAAATAAATATTTGAGTCACTGGAATATTTTACCATTGCTACCATATTCTCTAAACCAGCTAAGGCTTACCTGGTGTCTTGTGATAGAAGAAAATTGCTATAACTTTCAAACAGGTATAACACTGAATAGAAAGTCTAAAGAAACTAAACAATTCTCAACCTATCGCTTATTCCTAAGTCTTCAAAGTTTCCTACTACATTCCATTGTTCTCCGGAGGAGCTGCATCTGATCACTTTCTCACCAAACTAAAAATAACTTCTCTTACTACTTCATTCACTCAACATTGATCTAAAAGGTTTATAATATGCTCTATCTAATAGCATTTAAATTTGCCTGTAGCTGTTTAATTGTTCCCACTCTTTTCTGACTTTTGATGTAAGCAGAGGCTTGTAATACTAAATCATCAGATAAAGATAAATCATGAAAGAAACAAGATTTGGTTAATTGTATTCTTAAGGAATGATCATTTCTTGGCAAATAAAAAAAAACTAGGCTTTGGAATGGGTAAAAAAAAATCTTTGAACAACACACATTGATTTCTTTACAGATATGCACGTTGGAACATTTTTTTACATCTTTCAGCAGAAATTACACTTAGTAAATGTTACAAAAGAACAAAATATCAATTCTAAAATATTTTTGACATAAAATGTGTTTAAATAGTGAGAATAATTATTTTGTACTAAAATTTTGAAAACCTGCTAAACAGTTTTCCAGAAAGGGTTAATGTTTGGAGATATTGACAGTTAGTGTTAGTTTTATATCAGAATGTTGATGCAGTATATTGTTTCATGGTGCTTTTACATAGAATTTTTCATTTAGTAAAACTAGGCACCTATGTACCAAAAACTTTTTTTCAAGATATAAAATTGAAGAGAGATGTTTGACTTATGTAAATGTTATTTTTTGTATTGCATGTATTTTATTGAAAAAAAAAAATCCAAATGGTTACAGTTTATTAGTACCACATTTAACAGGTAAACTCCTGATAGTTTCTGATGCTTATTGAATAAATGTGAAGATGCTTTAGATATTTGAAAAGACAACATGCATTTGGAATGTTTTTTGTAAACATGCTCTAGGAGCACTGGATCTCTAGTAGTTTCATGTTTGACTTGCATCAAGAAGTAGTTTATGTGAAGCTTAAATGTACATAGCCTTGGGTAGTACATTTTTATTTAAGATAAAAGCATTGTTTCATTAATTCATAGCTGATGCTTGTTGTATTTCATTATTTCTCATTAAACTACACTGTTTATCTGAAATGGTTCACTGCTAGAAATACAATATTTGGGATTCATTAAATAATTCCTTTTAAAACTTTATTGGCAAATTAGCTTCTACTTTTTCTGAAACTTGATTTAAACAAGAGTTATAATAGGTATACATATAATGCAGTACATGCTACAAAGTTTTTAAATAGCTTTCAACTGAAATTAATTACAAGTTTTTTACGTGTACAGTGTGAGATATTCAAACTGAAGTTGAACCTTGCAATAGGAATATATAGAAGTTTTCAATTTTAAACTTACATCAGTATTTAATAGCTTTTTCTTTTTGAAACATTTGTAGATTTGTGCCTTTCTAACTATGGCATGTTACATTAATGTTTTGTATTTCTTAATACTAATATATCTTCTCTAAAACGTTTCCTGGTTTGATACAGAAATACATTTCTGTTATTACAAGTGAAGTATGGAATTCCTAAGTATTATGCACTTCTCAACTATCATGTTAAGAGAGGTCTTAGTTTACAGCAGTGTTTTCTATAGGATAAATTTTCTGGTCAAAACTAACCCATAATATACTGTAATATCAACAAGGTCCGAGGAAGATACAGTTAGCATCAGAATTGAATTATTTTGTTCTGACTAAACTTTAGCCCAATGGTGTAGAGTATCTAACTACCTCTAGACTGCATAACCTGCTCTATGAGACAATTTATTAATTGTGATGCTTCCTATTTGTAAGATGTTTAATGGAATAAAAATAGTTTATCTCACTTCATATGGATTTTTTTTCATACAGGATTTTTAGAACTTAGGTGGGAATTATGTATTTATAATTGTTTCACTATAGTAGGGATTATAAGCAAACAAATTTCTGAAAATATCTATAGTGTTTGGTTAACGCTTTATTCTGTTTTCTGATGTTCGTAATCTCACAATGTGCAGGTGTGTACTTTAAAATCTTTAGATATTTAAATGAGATCTATTTTAATAATACAAAATATTTTAGCGATTGGATTAATTAATATACCATAAATACTTGAAGTAATTACCACAAGGATTACAGTTTAAAAGAAACAAAAACCAAAAAACTTTTTCATTAAAATATACATAGCTTTAATGATTCATATATACTGAGGTCATGGAAAAGATGTAATCATACACACACACACACTTTCACTGTACAAGAAGAGTAAACATTACTGAGATACAGACAGAATATTTCCTATTCGACCAAGTCCTACACTGTCAAGCTTCCTCTTAAGGATGGTCACTGTGCTTTCCTCTGGTTCCTCTTCCATCCAGATGAGGAGCATTTGACTAGCTTGTTTCACAACATCAGGATTTTCATCCTGGAAGTACTGTATTTCATCTTCTTCAAATCCTAGAGCAGGGGCTAAGACCTTCCAGTCAGCTTTCAGTTTCTCTGCTATGTTAGTTAACTGGGTTTTGGTTACAAGCTCCTGGTTCTTATCAGCTGGAGTGATGATAAAAAAATCTTAAGTTACCTATTCTGTTCATTCACTTCTTAAGCGAAATTAGTCCTTAAGTTATCTCTTATTCTGTTCTAGCCAGAAATATAAATTATGGTTTCAGATAAGTCTTAGAATTTGTGTAACAATATATTTTGAATGAGTTGTCAGTAAACTAATTTAAACTTAGAAATCACAATCTGAAAAATTAGGTTTTTTGCTTCACTGAAGACCTGCTATTGCTCACTAGTGAATTATTGGGATAAGTAGGCACTTGGGGAGTGGTAGGCCTTTTCTAGACAGTTTTCATATCTTTCATAGAAAGAAAAACTTGTTCATTACTATAAACACGAAGCAATTCATAAAATGGTCACTAAAAGTGTGAAACAAACAAGCCAATGATGCTAGTTTTAGTAGGAGTTTCAGAATATCCTCCTAACAGCACTTTCATACTGAATTGCTCAGATCAATTCCAGGCACTCTCAGAATGTTTTTCAAGCACTTTTTGGATGTAGACTAAACGAAAAGAAAGACTATTTATTGTGCTCAACTTCACAACATGCATTAATGTTAGATATATTGTGCTATTATAATATTTTCAAGTACTTTTACAAAAAAGGCCCCTTTTCAAGCCCTTGAAATTCATTTTCAATTTCAATTAAAGAAGTCAGTACCTGATTCTGCTAGGAGTTTAACCCACCTTGTAAAAGAAAACATTGTTTCTCAAAACAAAATACAAGTTGGATTTGCAGCCAAGTAAATCATTTACCATGCTAATTTCAGAAAGACTGAATTGATTTTCTACAAAATTTGGCTGGAGCAATGTCATATGAAATATACTACCATAAGAGCAATGAATTGTGTGAACCCAAGGTTTGTTATTAAACACCCACAAAAAACAGATACAAAACTTGAAATGATCGTGCAGAGACATCTTCCCTACCAATGGTTATTAGCAAGTAAGTGTGATGATGTACTCCAGTAGTTTAAACTGTGGCTGAGAAATAAAATACTATGACTACAGAAAAGACAGACTTCATGATTTTTATCATGACATCATGGGGTAAAATGAGTCCTTCAAGGAAATCTGGAATGTAATCAAAATGCTGTTGATCTTATCTCATGGTCAGTCAGTCATCAACAGAAAGGAATTTATCAACCAAAAAAACATCTTGGTTGAAAATATGAGTAAAGGATATATGATGGGTTGAAGGGAACATGATGTGATTTGACAGATACACTTATCACAAAGACGATACTAGATGCATGTAGAAGTGTAAGAATGAGGTACCAGTTATATCTGGATGAAGAAAGAAAGAAAGACCTCCAAAAGGAGCTGACTGGCTTGCAGGAAAGCTGGAGTGAAGTTCTGCTAAGAGAGGCAGATGAACTCACAAAACAAGCTAAGGAGAAAATGAACCTTCTTGTAAAATATGTTTTTAGAGCTAATTTTAGTAGAAACAAATGAAAAGAATGGGAAGCTTGAGAAGACTTGAAGGGATGTAACTGTCAGCAATGTCTGCTGTGCTTATATTTGAAACCAGTGTGAAGTATAGCACTGGGAATCAGTCTAAACTGACTTTTCATTAGATGTTACTATATGACTAAGTGTTCTGAATTCATATGATTTAATTTTAATATCATGATGTTATATTCTACTAGTACCTATATACCACAGCTGGTGTACAGTTTCATGTAATAGTTTTTCTTTTCAACTAGTGGATTTAAAAAGGGGGATCCAAGTGTAACTAAAACAGCATAAATAGGTGATGTATATTTAATTCTTATTAGCTGCTGGATGTGGTTTTGAATTCTTTCCTTTCAGTTTGGTGGTGGGTAAAGCTTAGAAAAAAGACATGTACAAATAGCTCCTTGGTGTGCTATTTGTAGAACTCTTTGTACAATATGTATAGTTAGTATTACAAATGTATAAAGATAATAGCTTAGCAAATATGTATCAGTAAGTTACTTGTGCTTTGATTATACAGACAATGTTGAATACATTTGATTCTGGAAAAACCACTTTTTTTTATTCAAAATGTTTGCTCTATTCAGTGTATACAGGCTGATATGCATCTTAACATTTTAATGCCACCTACTGTTGCACAGCATAGTGTGATTGTAATAAACTGTATATCTGCACTTTAAAAAATTGTTTCACTGTAATATCTACTGTTGATAGTAAATAGAAATGTTAACTTGACAAGGAAGGACAATAATAAACAATTAAGAAAGTTCTCCAAAATGTTTTATTGATTAATATGACATCGGGGGTGGGGGGGTGTCCAAATCAAAACATTTCTCTTACAGTTTTTTTTTATAGTATATAATATCACATCCAGCAATTGATATGTTTCAATAAAAATAACTAAATCTGTATTGTATTTACAAACCAATGTCCAGGTGGTTTGGGGTGGCTATAATGGGAGGTATATGGAGGCCAACTTTAATTGTAATTTCATATCACTGGAAAATTTGCTTAAGTGTTATTGTTAACATTTATTCAGTTTTAACTATTTTGTAGTCAAATATTGATCTAGACAGACAATAATATGTTGTTTTTCATCAGTTTGATTCAAACTTAATGGTCAGGGAATTTTGTATCATCTCCTCTGTGGAAACCCTGTACCAGCTGTATTGTTCATTTAGTGGATTTACTCTGTTATTCTTCCAAGAACTATGAATTATTTCTACTGTACTTACCTTTTTTTGCTTCCTCTCTCACTGTTCCATCTTCAGAATTCTTCAACAACTCATCATCGCTGTCTTCTCCACCATCTCCAGCCATGGACGTCACCTCTGTTCTTGATTCATCTGATGTAGACTGACCAGGCTGCTGGTGCTGGCATGGAATTTAAAACAATCTTTCAGGTTTCAGACACCACAGTTTATTTCTAGATCAGCAGTTGGTATAATTGCAAACATTTCTTTAACCACAAGTTTTGACTGAGATCAAACATTTGTTTTATTTGTTATTGTGTATGTTTCTATTTTCAATCAGAAAACTGAGGATTTCTTAGTTTTGTTTTTAAATTATGGAACTCTTTGGCTACATATATTAGAAAACTTTTGATAGGCTGGTTGATATTTATAAACAACAAGCTGCATGCCCATCATATGACAGGAAACAATGATTAATTTTTTCCTCTAAAAATTATACCTAAATAAATGTTTTTTAAAAATTAATTATAATATAGTAACAATATATGTATGGAGAATAACTATCCTATTTCTAGTATTTCATGAAAACATTTTTTATGTTTATTTGGTCATCTCTTTTAAGTATTACTTGATTAGCATTTTGAATCCGTATATTTTTAAGTTATGTTTAAATGTTCTTCTTGATAAATCCTTATAGATTGAAACACACAAAAAACCTGATTCTCAAAGATATATTCTTACTTGGTCAACTGTATGACCCTGAAAATTATTAGTTGTGATGGTAAAGGAAGTGAATTTTATTATGCATTTTGGGGTCTTCTTCCTGGTTTTGGATTTCTTAGCCTGCTGAGCTGAAGAAGCATGCTTTATTTTGGGCATTTTCAAAATTGAAATGTGATGTGGGTTAATATAGAGTTGTAGTCAAGGGTTCCAAATGGACAAAATTTGGTTATCTTGCATCAATGTGTCTGCTTGACAACCAAGCAAACATAATGGAGAATTTCAGCCAATGATAATGATATTTGTGCACCAGCAATACCAAGCATAGAGTGCATGTATTCGATTTTATTACACATCACAATCTCTACCAACGTATTCTCAAATCTAATTATATGCTAATAGTAGTGCTCACAAACTACTGATTACATTAATTGTTAATAGGCAATTAAATCAGTACTATAAAACAATAATGAATTAAACATTGCATTACCATTATGGTCCAGGTTGTCAACTTACTGTCATAACTGATAATGTCTGTGGTAATAGCACTCAAAAGGGTGGAGGTTGGGAGTTTAATAGTAGAAATATTAAGGTGGCTTCATTTCATTTCTAAGAAATTTAAGGGTAACTGCCTTCCCAGAACTGGCTATAGACAATGAGAGGCAGAAGAAGCTGAGACGTTGTGAGTGTAAACACTCAGCTTTGTACACTTATTTGATTTTTTATGATTTTACATGAAGGCTGGCTAGATTGACATTGGCACTTAGATTTTCTCTGATAGATTGGATATTTCCAATGCATTTGAGTGCTATTACCACAGACATTATCCATTATGACATTAAGTTGACAACCTGGACCAATAATAACAGTAATGCAATATATAATGGTGCAAAAGATTTTAATACAAGTACTAAATCAAAGGACAAAAATTTTATCATCAATTTTCAGACAGCTAAACTGAACATCTGTCAGAGGTGGAAAAATTCAAATTAAAAAAGTAAAGATCAATAGCAATTCTAGACACCTTTTAGAGCTTTTTAGAATACATGTTAAATAAATAAATAAAAGGTGAGAGAAAAACATGTAGACCCTATAAACAATTAAGATAAGAGAAGATTAATTAGTAGTGAATCTATATTTCCAAAATTTTGTATTGGAACTTGCTGGACCTAAATCTTGACTTAAAATATCATCTGAATAGTTAATATATCTAGTGATTCATGAAAATAAAATGTTTTGAAACAGGAACAGTTAAACAGCAATTCAATTTTGCACCATAAATGATCACAATCTGTATTTACAGCTAGTGCAAACTCAAACCTGTTTCTTTTAAACATTACTCTGGTGTTTATATTATTCTTAACTTTATATTTCTAGTAGTCTGGTCAATAGATTTTAGCACAAGAACACTGAATATTGTAAATACCGCATTCATCAAAAATAGTCTGTGGATCTTTAAGTGATTGCGAAACATCTTTAATTTTTAAACGTGATAATAAACAGTTTTTATTTGAATAAATCTGAAAAAAAAACTACTCAGTTTTGTAGTGACACCAGGTATATATGGCAAATACAATTTATCTTTGATGAAACCAATAGCAAGTTCTTATATTTCTTAAGTAATGTCCATTAGTTTATCATTATACCCCTATACTTTACAAAGCTTTTAAGAATTATAATTTTCCTGTTGAGATAATAATCAGAATAACAAATTTTAAGATCTCTATAAAGAAAGGTATTAAAAACTGAAACTTTATAAGGAAAAAGGATAAGATATATTGTGTTACAGGGTTGTGATGGAAAATTGTTTCTCAACTATTGCTTACTGAAAATAATTCTCTGTCACAACCCTGCCACACAATAAATCTTATGTGAAACATATACTTACACTCTGTGGTAGCTCTTTGGCTATTTTTCGAACCATTGACTCCAGATAAATTGGTAAACGTTTGATTGGCTGGTTGCTGTGAGTAAAAAAATGAGGACTTTTCTGGGATAGTAGCCGCAAGGCTCGCCAACCGTAATTACCATCATAAACATGTCTAAAATGTAAAAAAAACAGTAATATTCTATGATTATGGTAGTCATTATGTGACATAATATAATTCTTTTTAAGATAGGTTTTATTTCTGTTTATATTTTATTCCAAATTCTGTTACAGTTATATGATATATTCACAAGCTGGAGTTCTTTGTTTTCTTAGATTGGCAAACACTGTTTTAAGTGTCCTTCTTTTTTTTTTTATTACAAATTTAATCATTGCAGTTCTGTTTCCATACAAAAAAATCTATTTATCTGGATAAGAAAACCAAGTTTTTAAAATTTCGGTGTTGTAACACCCACAATACTAGACTTCTACAGATACAATTACAGTTTTTAATGCAACATTACAATAATTACCATCTTTATCACATATCACACATGTATTATTAGAACTAGATACTTTCAAAATGTTCTTACTTGAAACGATTTTCTATCTGATTTGCTGGATCAGTTTGTTCAATAGCAGCTTCAAAATACTTCTCCAAGGAAGGTACAAAATCCCTAGAAACAATACAACATTGTTATTTCTTCACAAAATGTTTATGTCAGTAACCTGTTCTCTCATACCATCATATATGCTGTAAACACTCACGTCTTAAATTTCTTGAATTAGAAAAATGTATTCAACTGTCAATTACACTAAACATTAGGGTGTCATGAGGACAAAAAACAGACACATGTATAAATACAAAAATAAATATCTGATCAAAATGTATGAAGGTTCAAACTGATCATTGTAAAACTAAATCTGATAAACTCTGGTCGGTTCAATATCATCTAGGAACAGTGATATGAGGCTGGCTGTACAAAATTTAGCATGTCAATGAAGTTTCACATGTCTTTCTTTAAATACCATTTTAAAGTATCCTGATGAATAATATTGGTACAATCAGTTGAATGGCACACATATATTCAACTTTTAAAAGCTAAATTTGACAACAGCGTTTCAACAATGCTGAACAGGAAAGAACAAGGTAATAATGGATCTAACCGTTTCTTGGAACGACAAGCTTCCCAGTTGTCAGGACAAAGGTTCCACAGTCTATTAAGTTCGGCACTGCAACAAAGAAAAGCACATCAAGTTACCTCTAACGTTAAACTGATGTACATAGTTATTCCTAGAATTACACATTTATCTGAACTACTTCTGCAGTAAACTGCATATGGATGCACAACATTTTTTATTACAATTGACCTAATGACATACAAACCACTTAAAAAAATTAACAAAAATACTGTCAGTATTACAATTACTCCACCTTGTTGCTGCTGGGATCTATTCACCAGTGTATATTACATAGAAAATGAATGGCAGGTAAAAACACAAAATTATTTTGTAAGGTGCATCATGCAGACCTCACACGTATTGAACAGTGTAGAAACAAATTGGTAATATAATATTTATACAGTTTCAAGAATATGTGCTATCAACTGTCACACTTTAAAAATAAATATTTCTATAGTTCCTATAGAAACCAGTGGCTTAGAGCACCAATTAATGGTACACTCACATAACATTATTTAGCTCAACAAAAGTTGCACTATAGTTTTACTAAGAAAAATGTTCAATTCTCACTTTCCAAGTAAGATTTTTCCTTGACTGTCTGCTGCACGGATCTCATCTCCAACTTTTCTTTTTCTACAAAATGAAGAAACATAAACATTACTATACAAAATCCTTCTATTACTGCTAACACAAAACTATGTTCAAAGGTACTCTTCTCCTTCTTCTCAAAACAAAAGAGCATGGAAGACAGTTCAGAAAACTTGCTTATAGATCAGTCTAAATAAATATAAGTGCCATACTAGTGTTTTATATTTTAACATCCCTGAACATCATTATGGGTAGGTTAAAGTGCACAAGTCTTGACCTTTTAATATAATTAAACTACTTTATTATCAATGTAAATGAATAAACGTGGCACCAGAACGTAGATAATAAACCAACTTTTAATATTATACATGTTTTAACTTCCTAATTTTATAGTGAAATATTTTAAAAAATCTTCAATCTCCCCTAATATGATAATCTTTTGTTTTCTAATTTATTACTCACTCTTCTCTGAAGAACAGAATTTAATGTAAATTACTCATTATCAGATAAATACTACTTAGGCAAAGTTTAATATTTATATTCTTCAATCATATTTGTTTATGAAGTCATAAACTAGAAAATACAGACCTACTTGGCATGCCTATCTGTCACATCTTCTCTTTCACAAATTGCCAATAGTTCTCTCGGACATTTCATACTAAATTGTTTATAACCAATAGAAAGTCAAAATTTTAATCTATCAAATGATGTATTATATTATGTTTTTTCCAGAACAGAACATTGTCTATTTCACCTTCAGTTTGAAAGTTTCTCTCATGGTGTTCAGAACATGAAATTTAAAGAATTATTTGCTTTGTTTGTGTTATTATTCTGTGTTCTGAGGTGCATTACTTAAGTAAATAAAAATTATTTAATGTACTAGTACTATTAGTATAAAAAGTAGGCTTAAATTTCACCAACAACTGACAGCGAAAAACAACAAGGCCAAAGTAAGTATTACATTTCTTGTTTTTCATGTATGTTCTTTATTTATTGGTATAAAATAACTAAAATGTAAAAATTAAAAACTTATTGAGTTAGATTAGGTAAGATAATAAACAATAATAAAAATTATTCACGAGGTATGCTCAAGAGTCGTGCATTATGTCATTCAATACAGTAATGAGATACGTGTTCACCAAGTGATTTACAACTTGTGTGGCAAGATTATTAGTTAGACATGGTTCAAAGGGCAATAAAGCTATAAAATAAAATATAAGCAGATGCAGACTGTTATGAGATTTAAGTTAAACAATTGTAGTTTTCTGTTACAATCTGCAGTCATTCTAGAAATAAAAAAAAAGTGTAATTTAAATTTATTTCATATTTTTTTATGGTCAGCCAAATTAACCAATTCTGTATACATTTAGGGTAGAGGAAATAACAGATAAATATACAGTTGTACTGAAAAAAAAGTTTGATATTTATTTAGGAGATTTTAGAGGTTACACAAACGAAATTTGAAAATATTTTAGATGGAGAAAAGTATTTTTAATATTAACGTGAAAATCATTTTGCAATCAGAGCAGTGAACACTCTGACTCCATAATTTTGTGGACAAATCTTTAGTAAAAATGCTCAATTAAAACACCTGAATTTTTGTGTACAAAACGTTGTAATGTTTATTGAAAGCTTGCCAAATTTTATGAAGATAAACAAAACATATTAAAAGTTATAGTATGGAAACACTGACGGTTACTTTGAGGTTACAAAGTCGGTCACACTCTTTCTGAACTGGAGGGATTTCACTAAATAATATCTACTCTTGATTTAAAAAATTCTTGTAATTTAATACAGTATATCTATTATTTTTTAGGATGTCAAATTTTAAAACCTTTGCTATGAGACACCATTTTCTAAAATCATATACATTCTTTCATCTTAGAATTTAAATATTTCTTACTGTTCTTCAGAAAGTTTCATTTTATATTCCAATCAATTTCAACTTCAGCAGTAGTTACCACTTCCAGCTGTAACTTGTAAAAAGCATGAAAAACCTACAAGGATTTATCAGTGACTTGGGGCCACATCTTTCAAAATGGCATCATATTTACATTTGTTAGACCAGCTATCATGATTTTTGCTAACAATAATATTCTTGGTCAAAATAAATCTGTATCTGATAGTTATTGTCCAGTAACTAATAATTGTTAACTTTATCATATTCACAAGTACACACGAATAAAATGTATATTTCTGAATATGATACAGTTAACAAATAATAGGCAATGAATAAGGATCTGAGTCATCAAAATATTTTTACATCTTCTATCATATGCACTAAAACTAGCTAAGCTTACCTGATGCCATACAAAAAAAATTCAGAAGCATTCAAACAGATTTGGTTTAACACAAAAACATTTTCAGAAATGAAAAGAACACCTAACGACAATATAAATAAATTCTTAGATCTGTGATTTGTTCCTGAGTCTACTAAAGTTCCATTTAAATTCCTTTGATCACCCCTACATCATCTCTAGATTAGTAGTAGTAATGGTGGTGGAGGAAAATCACACAAGAAAATATACATTGATGATAATTTCTTAGCAAATATTAACTTATCCATTGGGATACGCATAAAAATTCTAAAAAAATTTGCTGTTTACAGGTGAGACTCCTCAGGTGGAAAGTTGGAACATTTTTTTTCTCTTTGTGAATTACACTAAATAGATATTACAAAATGATAGGATATCAAATCTAAACTATTTTTAAGTTAAAATTTGTTGAAATACTTAGAATTAATATTTTGTTTATTGAAATCTGACATATAGGCATGCACTCAAAACCTGAAAGATCTGTTTTGTGATCCGGACAGAGTTAAGCAAAGTAATACTGGTGACATAGCAACCATAGAATAGCAATAGAGCTCACAATGTTATACCATGAACACTATCTAGACCAGTAAGCATATCAAGTTTCAAAAGTTAACATTACGCTGAAAATATTTCCAATAGGCAATTACCTTCTCTCACCAAAGCTATCTCAATCTTGGTTTGCCATTGTAAGCAATGCTAAAAATTTTTCACTAACAGTGCACCAGTCTTTTATACCCCTTCATTTTTGCACCATTTCAGAACATGTGCTGATTATGTGACTACCCTTCGCCAATCATACTGTGCCATCTATACTAGTATAGCTAGCTCCCTCTACTATTGTAGCACAATCCTCACTTTCAAGAACTGGCATGTACAAACTAGAAATATTGGAATATCAATGGGGAGAAAGGGTGGGAAGTGGGTGAGAAGAGGTAAGTACCTATCGGAAATAGATTTTCAGTGTAAGAAAATTTTGACATCCTAAACAGTACTACCTCTTCTCACCCAAAGCTAAAATCCCACATTGTAAAGGCGTAGGAGCCGGTGAAGGTGTGACAGTATTCAATCAAGTGGAGAGCAACTGCCTTGAAAGAACAGATGTGCTATAATAATAAGAAAAGAAGGCACTCCTGTGGGGTATAATACTTCTTCTGGAACAGGTACGCTCTTTATCCAGTAACAAACACATTAATACATATAGGGTGGAATGTAATAGGCAGCCACCATAGCCTCAAGAAAGAGATGTACAGCACTATTCTGTGGAAAAGTGCTGTATAACTATGATGTGAAACTGCACAGCATGGACAAAAACAGAATGTCTAGTGTGTAATTGAGAATGAGCCTAAATAAATATGTACTAAGTGTAGAATCTTGGGCACACCAGAGCATGTCAATTGCTGTCTAACTCGGGAAAGCATCCAGTGGAAACACCTTGTCTAGGATATTGTGAGCAACAAAAGTGATCCTTCCCATAAAAAAAAACAAAAATCCAGGGGAAGTGTCTTAAATAAGTAGCTTGATAAAAAACTGTCAGGTATTTCAGAATCAGCTTATTGTCAACAGATAGTGCATAATTCGCCCACAAATGTAGCAAAGTTCCTGATAATGTGATATAAGTAAACGTGGCTATGGCTAAAGGACCATAAATTGTATATGAATAGGTCAAGTGCAGTCTGCCTGGGCAAAAACATCCATGGGAAAGACCTTAGGATACATAGAATTATACCAAGTGCAGCCCATCTAGATAAAAACACCCAGTGAAAGTGCCTTGCATAAGTTTGCAAGATCAACAAGTACAGTCCGCCCAGGCAAAAAACATCCAGGGGAAGTGCCTTGAGATATGTCGGATTATGCCAAGTGCAATCCATCTGTGCAGAAAACATCCACCAGAAGTGCCTTGCATAAGACACAGAGATCAACAAGTGTGGTCTGCCCAGACAAAACCCAGGTGGAAGCATCTTGGGATACTATTGTGTATTTCAAGAGCAGTCCATCCTGGCAGAAAACATCAAGTGGAGGCTCCTTGCATAAGAAATTTATTTTGTGACCAATAAGTGCAGTCAGCCTGGGCAAAAACATCTGGGGGGAGCACCTTGGATATAGAATATTATGTTATTGCACAATCAATAAGTATAACGACGACAGCCATCTTCTTACTGAGTGGATACATATGAGCTATAAAGGAGGAGACCTCCATGGTCCACCACTCCAGCAACTAAGAACTGGAAATGTAGAGGACTCCCGTGCTCCAATAGAAGAGGGGGGGAATATGCATTAGAGTCCAGAGGAATGACACACAGGAGACAGTATAATGGGTGTCTGCGATTCCCTATTTTGAAAAGCAAAAAGACACTGATTGGAAGTATAACAGGTCGGTAGGGAGGGCAAAAATCCTCATCTGCTTTACTCCTGAATTCCATGAGTGATGGTCCTTTGTATGTGAAACAGTGATATAAAATAAATAAATAAATATATATATATACATACACACACACACACACCACTGAATAAGCGGCCATGGTCTTACAGAAACACCCCATCTCAACAGTGAGCATTATAGAAGTATACAGATTTAGTGCTAATATAATAATAAGCATACCTGACCAGGAAACACTTACCACCAGGTGGGATCCTGAAATATGATGGACATCAATGAAATAAGATAACGCTAGTAGTATGTTGACTTACCCCAGTCAAAGACAAACAGATGTGTGTAGAAATATCACAGGAGGAAGATGATACACGCCTGAGGAAGACACAGCTAGGTTGTGCAGATAATGTGCAACAAATGTATTGGGAGTTGTCCACATACTAGCCTGAATGATCTCCTCCAAAGAATGGCAGTTTCAAGCAGCTAAAGACATAGTTAGATGATAAATTTGGTGCGAAGAAACATTATGTAGACAGCGACCTTCCAGGGACATGTCAGAATATGCCAGTCATATGAGCTGACAAACCCAACCAGTAAGCGTAATAGGCAATAGATCTTGGGAAACAGAGGAATTCCATTGAACAAACAGACAGGAACAGGAAACACAAAAGTAGGCAGTCTGAACCACATAACATAGCAGAAAACGAACCGGATAAAGCAGACAATCCAGATCCGAACAGGAGTACAGGTGGGAAATGAAGGTAAAGAAAGTATGAGAAAAGACTAAACAACCTTCCCGGGCAACCGATGTCCTGGGAAGAAAGGTCCGATTCAGATAGAAGATAACATACGAGGAAGGGTAAAGAATGTGGGAAAGATTAATGGCATAAATATCAGAACAATGTCAACCTCATGCCAGGAAGGGAAGGAAATAGGTGTTAAGGGAAAGATGGTACAAGGAACACATTGCAATGGGTTCAAAGGGAGAACCAGACATGACTTAAAGGATAATATTGAGGTCCCAATCCAGCAGAACAAAGAGACATGGCAGATGGACCAGACGAAAGGAACGAAAAGGAGGGAAATGACTGGGGAAGAGAAGGCTTTCCGGAAATGGGAGAATGCAAGGTGTTTGACAGGGCAGCCCTATAATGAGCAACAGTCGAAACAGACAAACCCTGATCAAACAACCAAGTGAAAGACTGGGACAGGTGAGGAACAGAAGGACAGGATGGTCAGAAGTCATGCTGAATAGACCAAAGTCTGAAGTAAGACCAGTGGTTCTGGTACATAGACAAGGAGGAAGAGCGATTGGTATGGGCAAGGAAAGACGCTACATGAGAGGCAAGTCCCTGAGCTGAAGCAAGGGACCAGACAAAAGCCACACATGAAGATGGAGTTTGGTGATGTTGGGATGAAATATGTCCTATCGTGGTTGTTGGAGGAGCAATCAGGACAGAGGAGAGGGAAGGGGTTGTTGCTTCAGTAAGGGCCAGAGCAGAGGGAACCACATCTGAGCCAGCCATAATGAAGCCACCAGCAGAACATGACAAAGAGTGGTCTGATTAAAGGAAATGAGTCTGGAGAGAGTCTGATTGGAGGGTAGGCCCTTCTAATCTCAACTGAAAGCATCCACCCCCAGAGCTGAGGGGTGAGGAACTGGAGACCAAAAGGAAGGAAGTGTGGCATTCCAGTGAGTGGCAAATACATTCACATGCAGTATTCCCAGTTGAGAACACACCCACAGAAATACCTGAGGATGACAGGACCACCCCATTGGGAGAACCTGTTGGGACAGATAAGTAATCGGCCACAAGAATCATAATTCCGGGAATATGATACACCAAAACTGTCATGTTGTCTGAAAACACAGAGATTTGGACTTTGTTCCCCCTTGCTTGGGGGATACATCATATATCATGATATAGCTGATGACAGTGGAATTGTTAGACCATAATCACCTGCCTCTGCAGGAGCAGAAGGAAATGATACAGAGCCTAATAAACTGCTAAAGGTTCCAGGATGTTGATATAAAGAGTAGCCTCCTTAACTGACCACTGACCCGAAATCTCTTGGGAATTGAGGAAAGCCCCAACTCACCAAGGAGGTATCTGAGAACAGATAAGACTTGGGAAGAGGCGGAGGAATGAGAATCCCCACTTTAGTCAAGTCCCTGTCATGCCACCAAGCATTGGTCAGCCCTGATCCCAGGTGGAAGGTTGATGAGATGGTCTACGGGATTGTGGGAGAAGTTCCACTGATCGAGAAGTATCCAATGAAGGTAATGCATGTGTACCCAACCCAAAAGAAGCTCACATCCCCAAAAGAGATAGAGCCTCTTGTGCAGAGAAAGAAGGAGAAGGTAAGGCCTTCGTGACTGCCCGCTCCATATCCCAGAGCCAAAGTGGGGAAGGCTGGGCCTGACCGAGATGGGAATTGAAGAGAATCCCCAAATGAATAAGATACTGCATGGGGGTAGCAAAAAACTTCTCCAACTTGAGGAGAAACTCCACCCAAACAGCTTCTTGAAGAAGTAAGCGGGTGTGAGTGACTGACTGGGCATTGCAAGAGGCTAGCAGTAGCCAATCGTCCATGTAATGGTGAGTCTGCAGACCCAGCAAGTGAAGATGGCATGTAAAAGAGTGTACCACTCGACAAAACACAGCCATAGCTGAAGAAAGACCGAATGGCAGAGCCCAGAACTCTCGTGGACAAACCGAAAAAATGAATCGACATTAAAGCAATTCTTATATGAAGAGAGGCATCTGACACATCAAACTTGGTCATTCAAAGTCCAAGTGGAAAAAACCTACTGAAGTGAGAAGTAGGACTCCATGGTGAAGCAAGGTGTCTCCAGATGAGTATACAGCTGGGACAGATCCATGATGGATCTCCAATTCCCCGTGTTTTTGGAGACAACATATAGACAGAAGGAAAATCCTGGTTCAGTTAGCACCATCCATTTGATAGCTCCTTTTTATAGAACTTGTATAGAGTCAGCAAGACAAGTTATGATCCCCAGGAGTAGGGAAGGAGATCTGGGAAGTGGATAGATGAGAAATGAAAACTGAAGGCAGAAACCTTCAGATAGAACCAGTAGAACTCATGGAATTGTCATGAAGTGTAGCCAAAAAGACACAATCTAAACATACTGAGAAAACGTACTTATTACAAACAAACTAACAAAATGAAGAAATGTGTAAAGTCTACAAAGTACATAAAAAGAACAAACCTGCAAAACGATGAAATTCGACCTAAAACATAAAACAATATGCAACACCTAAAGTAGAAAACCACTAAATGAACTTAGAAGATAAAAGACCCTTAAAGAGTTAATATATAAGTCCACCAACAGAACGTATAAGACAAAGGATATGAAAGTAAAACCTGTCCTGAAGAACATGAGAATAAAAAGGCACCCAGATAACAATAAAAATTTTTTACTCAAACTAATCCCCAATTATATGTGACTAGTAATAAAGAAAAAGGAACTTACAAACTAAATAACAAACTGTGAAAAGAAGTAAAAATAATGAACCAACAATATTAGCTGAAGGTACAATTACCTAAACAGTAACAATTGTGCAAAACCAGTACACATACTGAAAATTAAACAAAAACAATGTAATAATCAAACTCTAAATGCAAATTTAAACTAAAGTATTTTAGATGATAGAAGAATTATAAAAATCTAACTTGCCAAATACTGAGTAGGGAAGGCATGAAAGACCTGAATTATTCAGTGCAAAAATTAGGTCCATCCACACAAGCACACATAAACATGGGTATACCTATTGGGAGTGAAGAATATACAGTGAAAAACTTACCACAGATCTCATGGGAAAAAGAACAATACCTAACCCAGCAGATTACATGAAGCCAAGGTAGCAGGTGGAAAGTGCTGTAGAAAGAAAGTTTCACACAATAGTTATATCCTTCCTCACAAAAAATCGGAAAGTGAAAGGAAGTAATCATCAGCTGAACACAAGCTCCTTGCAAAAGGAGACCAAAGCCTGTGCTTCTCCAGCAGACATCGTCGACCCTAATACGTGGGGGACTAGTGTCAGAACCATTGTCTACTAACACGGGGAATTTCATCATCCACCAAATTAAATCTCAAACTCATATGAATAAATCAGAAATAATTATAAAACAAACAAGAATAAATAATGGAAATCAAACACAAGAAGTTGAAGTTTCAAGTTAAAACTTATATAAATATGTGATCATGCACAATCAAAATTGTGTAGTTATAGAGAGAACGAGTTAAAACAGACATCTATATACTAGAATGCCAATTGAGAAAGTGAGGATTGTGCTAGAACAGTAAAGTTACATGATTAGCACATTCTGAAATGACATGAAAATGAAGGGGCATAAAAAACTGGTGAGCTATTAGGAAAATTTTTTTTAGCAATGATTAGAGGGCAAACCAGGATCAAGAGAGCTTTCGGTGAGTGAAGGTACTACCAGTTTGGAATTTAAATAAAAATAATAACTCTAACTCCATTTCTAAAAATATTTTAGAATTGACATTGTTATTTTAGTGCAATTCATAACGTTTGTTTGTTTGTAATTAAGCACAAAGCTACAGAATGGGCTATCTGTGCTTTGCCCACCATGGGTATCGAAACCTGGTACCTAGTGTTATAAGTCCGTAGACATACTGCTATGCCATTGGAGAGCGTAATTCATAGAGAAAAATCTAAAAAAATAGGAGGTATCTCACCTGTAAACAATGCACTTTTTTACCATTTTTTTTTTAGAATTTTTCTGCCCATTCTAAAACAAATTTATATTTGCTAAGGAACTATCATCCCTTGAGAATTTAATCATTAATGTTTAGTTTCTCATGTGAGTTGTAAAAGTAAAACAATGAGAGAAACTATATTAAAAGCTTGCTGTGAGGTTCATGACATGCCTTGTACACCACTAAGTAGTACCATAACTTTTCTACGAATCGTGAAAATGGCATTCCCATATTAGTATTTCATATATTAAAATCTCTTTTCTATAAAAGTTAAAACTTACACATACAAATTAGAATTTATCTAAGTGACTTAACACAATCCAGAGATAAGATAGTAATATTCTAAAATATGAATTACTAGTCTGGGAGTACCAGTTTTAACTGTTATAAATGTGAGGAAAGTAAAAACCTGCATGTATTAAGCAGCTAATAGAATCACAACCTATCTCTTATAGTAAAAGTACAAAGTAGAATTTCTGGTTTTCTTGGACTCATGTTTCAGCCAACAAATGTTACTTAGTAAAACTAAAAAATAACAGTACAAAAATTTTCAAACCTGGCTGGTTTTTGAACTTCCTTTTCTTTTTCAGGTTTAACAGGCAAGTTAAAATTGGGACATCCTTCATTCTTCCACTGATTCCAATAATCCTCTCTCTTCAAGATATGCTAAAACATCAATACAAATCAGTATCATCAATATTGAAACTAGTACGACACCATTGTTATGAATCTCGTTAGTTAACGTCGATAAATTACCAAACTTTAATCACGATATTAAGGTCTTGGGTGTTGCTAGCTGTGAGAAGGATGCTGCTTCATAAAAGAATTTTGATTATTGAGTAAGTTCATGAATAAATGGCAGATAGCTTTTGATCATAATAAATGCAAGGTAATGCATGTGGGTTAGCAATTTTAATTATAATTTTGATGGAAAGAACTTTAACTGAGTTATGGAAGACCGGTGCACTGGTTGAATGGCTTAAGAGACTGATCAACCAGAACATCAAGATTATTGCCCTACTACTAGTAACGGTGCACTGGTTGAATGGCTTAAGAGACTGATCAACCAGAACATCAAGATTATTTTACTAGTAGTAGGGCAATAATCTTGATGTTCTGGTTGATCAGTCTCTTAAGCCATTCAACCAGTGCACTGTTACTAGTAGTAGGGCAATAATCTTGATGTTCTGGTTGATCAATCTCTTAAGCCATTCAACCAGTGCACCGTTACTAGTAGTAGGGCAAATAAGATTTTAAATCGTATCTACAGAATTACTGAACACAAGTCTAAAGAGATTATTTTGATTGTGTAGGTTACTGATTTGGCAACATTTAGAGTATTCTGTTCATTTAATTTTACCATTCTACTATAGATAATTTAGTAAAAACAAAATTTATTTTAAACAAACTGTTTATGTTTTTTTTTGTAATTATCATGGATTTTTGACCTAGCTATTCCAACATCATTCTTCTTCTTGTTTGGTACAAAATAAAAAGAAGACCATTTGTAGAGCAGCATTCTTTGTTAAAATGTGATATTTTACACTGTTTTTTAAATAATCTAATAGTTGCTACAAAGTTTAGACAACTACATGTCCTATCTGAAAATCACATCCAAAAGTAAACATGTATTAGATAGTGAAATTTGTAAAGAGATAAGAAACACTTACTCAAGTGAGAGATATTAAAATATGTAATCATAAAAGTAAATACAGTACTACAGAGATAGTGAAATACATAGTTACAAGAGATAAAGAACACACCCACTTATTAAAGTGCAAAACAGTCAAGTATAAAATCATAAGTACAGAACACTAAAGAAATAGACAATTAAGTACGTAGTCACACAGTTACAAAACACACTCACCTACTGGAACAAGAAAAAGTGAAGTATATAATTTTGAGTACATACCACTACAGAAACAGATAATTAAGTATGTAATTACACAGTTACTGAACAAACCCACTAACACAAGATAAAGTATATTATCATAAGAAGCACACTCATTAAAGCAAAAATTAGTCTATATCACAGATATATAATATGTACTGTTTAAATAAGTGACAGTAATTTGTCTTTTTTTTTTTAGAAACTCCCATCTGATATTGTAAATAACATAACATATGACTACTACTGATTTATCATAACATTGCAAAAAGTTTAAAATCACATATTCTAAAAGTTGCCATTATCTGTGACACTACTGGTAAAAAAATTAATGCATGTGGAAAAAAACAATCAATAAATCCAGGTTTTCAAATAACCTATCCTTGTGATGAACTAAGGTGAATCTTGAAGCCTGAATGTGGATCACATTTTCATAGGTTGTCTACAAGTTGAAATTTATTGCATCAAAAAGTGGTTTCAACTATGTAAATATGATGTCAGAAACCAAGTCAATCATCTTGAAACAATCCTATTGGGAGTGTGAAAAGTCATTCATTCCATTCATATTAGTTTGAGACCTTTAATAACTGCAATGATGAGTGTAGTTTCCATATAAAATAGCCTACCTATTTTAAAAATACTGAATTAAACTAAAGCTTAATCGGTTCAGTGCAGTTCTAAGTATTTTACTTACATGTAGTCATTATTCCTAAAATGATCCATTATGGAATCTTGTTGGATTGATAACACAAACGTGAAAAATGTATAAAACATCTGTAAGGCTTAAAAGCAAAATATAAAAGGAACCTTTACAAGTAAAAAATTACAAATAAAAGAATCATGATTACAAAGTTCATTTTTTGTAACCTTCTTTAAAACAAATAATCACGCACTCACCGCAACATTTTTGGAAAAATCAAGTCCATCTGAAGAAGTCTGTTCTAAAAGCTAAAAATCAGAAAAACACTAGTGTTACAAGGTTTATTTTGTTTACTGTGTTGTGTCTAAATGCTAAACGTTAATGGAATTTACAAGAACTATGTTCCAGGTCATGCACTTCCCTTAGAACTACTTCTCCAGTTTCAATTGTGCTCATCCTGGTAGTTAAAATTATAAAGTATTACCCAAAGCTGATATATTCATTGTAACAAGCTTTTATGAAGGACAATGGGGTCAATCTCAGACCACACATCTTGACAAACTTTCCACAGATTATTCACTATACGTGAAATTAGAGTTAGCAATCTGGATTTTTTATGACTTCATCCAAAAAATAAATGTTAATAAAATATACATAAAAACAAATTTCTACATCTGAACATTTTAGTTTTAATTGTTTTTTTTGTAGGTGGTTTGAAGGAAAAGATAAAGCATATACATTTTTTAAACTAATAATGTCATTTGACCTTGTAAAAAACATAATGGGCTAGAATAGGTTAATGAATTCTTACTCATAAATTATCAAAGGATGGGTTCACAATCATCAACACATTTAAGTCAAACTAGCAAAAGATATCATTTGGGAACAGACCTGTATATTGTTGAAGTCATAAAGTAATAAACAATGGCTTCACTATGAGAAACATCAACAAATTTTTTATGTCAGAAAGCAACAAAGGTTGGGGTCACACTGGAAAGCATCAACAACTTTTTGGTCAAAAACTAACAATGAGTCACTATGGTAAAGACGAACAATTCAAACTGTTTAAGAAATAAATTCACTGAAATCTATACTTTTAGATAAGTCATATACAAAAGATATACAATTCCATTATACACTATTAAAAATATTAAGAAGTTTCTGGCAGTACAACTCAAATCTGACATCCAGTTCTAATCATACAAGCTCAGGAAACATTCCAAGTAAGTCTAACAATCATATTGTGAAATAAGTTGGTAATTAACTAGATTAAATAATAAAATAATATTTTATGGATAACATGTAACACATGTAGCAGATACATCAATAACATCTTAACTACAGATGTTTTTTCACATTCCTCCTAATATGTCCATTGTAGCTTGAAATCATGTGTGTGTAAAAAGTAGTATTTCAAATCTATTTTTTTTTGTCTCCTACAGGTCACTGCTCAATAAGCTTTTCATTCAAAACCAAAACTCATCATTTGAGTTGAATGATGAGACAAAAGATCCTATGACACACCATTTACATATATGCAGTGTAATACTTTAAAAGTCTAATTTTGAGCTGAAATGAACAAATTAAAAGGAACATGAAAAAATAATATCTCAGGTCACTTGTTTTTATTATAATTTTTAGGCTTATTGGTTTTCCAATATTTTGCAAGCTTTTGCCACTTAAACTGCAACTTTTAAAGTATAGTACTTTATATACAAATAACATTTCACAGAATCTTTTGTCTCTCATTGTCAGCCCAACTAATGAGTTCTGGAACTGAATGTAAAGCTTATTGTAGAGTGATTTGTGTGATTTCTAGCTGTAATGGACAATATACCATGTAATGTGCAAATAACACAAATGTAAAACATTAAGACTAATATGAGTAAAAGAAATAATTTTTATTACATACATGAAAACAAATAGGTTTCATTTCACTTTTTACATCAACAATCAACATTTTTCAAAGATGTATTTTCCTGTACCTTCTTAGCTAATATCACGCTTACCTTATATATTCTGGCTGTAGTTTCTTTTATCCACACTAGCTGTTCATCTGTTAACACAAAGGACTCTCTAAAAGAACATTAAAATAGCAGATATTTAATAACAGTGAACAACAAACATTTTATTTCACAAAAATTATATCATTCATCACTAGGTGGGACTATAAAGTGATGAGCTAAATCTAAACTTCCTCTTTTATTGAAATTTGTTCCCTGTTATCCTTTGATTTATCCTGTTTCTCTGTGTTATATAAATTTGAAAAGGGTACTTACCCCTCACAAATAGTTCAGAGTAATGCTAAAGCACAATATAAATGTGAAGCTTCATTTAAGGTGATGAACTGATTCATAATACTGGTTAATGTTTTTATAGTTATTAAGATTCCTTACTGTGGTGTTGGAGTTCACTGGAAAAAGCACTATCATGATTTGTTAAGAAACTAGATATGTACTGCTCAAAATTCTTTTTCTTCATTCAGTTACAAAACTGAAGTACAAAGATTGTCTTTAATAATCTTCAAAGTTAATTCGTACTTAGTCACGTGAGTGAATCTACCTTCAGTGATTAACTACATAACAGTTAATAAATAGTTGTAGACTACCAATAAAAACATCTAATACTTTGATGTACTTATTTTATCTTTTCTCTATTTAAACAAATATGCACTGTGTTTGTGGATATATGTGCACCATGATATGCTTATTTTTATCTTTTCTTTATTTACAGAAATATACATTGTGTTATAGGATATGCATGCATCATGATAAACTAAACTTATTTTCATCTTTATCTTCTTTACAGTAACATGCAATGTGTTATAAGATATGTATACACCACATGTGCAACAGATGTTATGATACATGAAAAATGTTTTATATCATCTTCAAAACATGTTTAAAAATTTTGGCTTTTAAAGTTTTTTTTACACAGGCAGACAAAAATTATTATGATAGCCTTATTTGATTTATTCCCCCACATTTGTTATAACAGCATACATGATGTTTCTATCAATAAACAAACACTGTGAAATCAATTCATATAAAACAATAAAAAAACCACTAAAACTATAATCTACTTTAATACATATTAGACAAGTTTCATTTCATACATACAAACAATTTCTAATTGACTTTATCCTTCAAAATATATTAATATACTATACTTTGCTCATATCAGTCATGTACGTTCTAAAAAATAAAGATAACCACTTCAGATAAAAATAAATAATTGACAGTATATTTCAGCAGTTATGAAGTTATAAACAGCAACATGAAATTAAACAATAAAATATCTTGTTAAAAACTGAAATATTATTTTCACTTACTCTTCAGTTTGCACTGAAGTTATAATATAAATTGCAATAAGGAATAAAAAAATATAAGTTTCATATAAAACAAAGAAATATTCTTTTTACTACAGCTTGTATTTGAGTTATGCCTAACTGAATCATTATGCAATGAGTTATAATTGCCTGAACATATTTCTCTATCATAACCCTCCCTGGGATGTACTTAGCTCAAGGTACTTCAACTTGTGCAGGTTAATATGAATATGTATGTATGTTTAATGAAAATGAACAATGATGCAGAAAATCCTAGATTGTGAGATACTACACTATAAATGTAGTCAGCATGATATGATTCCTGTTCCTGTCTTGTGTAAAAGTGAGACTTTTCACTGCTTCAGCAGTCAGTATATTAGTCCAGCAACACTTAGTTTGTTGTATGAATAAATAATATATCAACATAATTGAAATCTGCTGCTGATTGCAGATATTAATATTTTTTTCTCAAAAATTAGTGCACTTGAATATTACACATAAATTCTTTATATGAGCCATTAATATGAAGAGAGATCCACTACACCTAATTCAAAACCACGAAAGTAACCACAAGATTAGTCATAATATAACTTTTGATAATGCAATCATATCCTCACAAAATTTTGCAGACTATTAGTAAACAATACAAGTCTTTTGTATGTAAAAAAAATCAATTTTTTAATCAAGTATTTTTTAATAAAAATTTTCTTGAATATATGGAATCAAACTCAAAGTGTTGACTGCTCCTGGTGCAAAATGATTTTTATGTGAAATTTTACAATTTTCAGATGAAGAAAGGTATTTTTTAATTTTAATTTGCACAATCTATAAAACCTCCTAAATAAATATCAAATGATAAAAAGACAAAAAATTATGCTTTGCTTGAGTAATAACCATATTATACGTTACATTCCATACTTCTTGGAAGGGGTGGTAAATAAATTAGAGAAGAGGGGAGACCTAATAATGAAATGTCATAATTCTGATTCTAAGGTAGATTGAGAATTTTGTTTAAATATTTCCTTATAAACTTAAGAACTTAAAACTTGTATAATATTAAAATTTTATTTATTAACTCTGATTTGGTGCAGAGTTTACTTGTATACATTGATAACACAGTATATTTATTAAATTTTGAATGTAAAAAAGTTATGACATGCACAGAAAAAGAGTACCCATATGGAAAGGGATAATTAAATACCACTCTTTTCAGAAATACATTTTTTTATCAGAAAAGCTGAGAACAATTAGTTGAATATTGTAGTATATTTTTATATAAAATAACTGAGCTATATTTAGAAATACATTTTTAGTGAACCCTACATACACACAGGTACAACTGTGTGTTAGCTCTCTAATACTGTAAGTCACAAGTGTTTTAGGGTTAAATAAGACAAAAACATGATCTATCTAATGAACAATGTACATATTAAAGAACAATATTAAAATAAAATTTTCAATTTAAATAATTATGTGAAAAAAGTACATATTTTAACCAGGGGTACTGAAAAAGAAACACAAAGCTGTTTTAATAAATTATGAATTACTATAGAAAGTTTACATTTGATTGGCTATAAAGGAAAACCTAAATTCTAGAAGAAAAAGTGAACTTACTGTTTAAATTTCACAGGAGACTGAAGGTAATGGAATAGGATAAGAAACTGTATCAATATATAACGTCTGAAATTGATGTCACTTAGTTCTAGTTCCAGCAACTAAAATGGACAGTATTCAAAATATTCAGTAAATTCATAAAGAAAAAACAATACATATAAACATTAAGTTAAACCTTGTTTAATATTAGCAAAAGTTAAATAAAATATTAGAAAAAGAAATGAAGAATATGTTATGATGGGTTAACCATCAGGCATGAAGAAAGGGAATTTGCATAATAAAAGAAACACACTAGTACTTTTAATAAATAAGGTTTCATTCTGAATGCAGAGTTTTGCTATTTTAACAAATGATACCCCTTTAATCTTTTATCTAACTAGAATTTAAAATGGTTCAAAACTCCACACAGAAGTACACCCAGGGTGACATTCTAAGCTAAAAATTTCTCTTCACATATTGGATCCCCCTAACATACAGTGAGAGTGACTAACAAAAAAGACCATAGGTTGATTTTCAATGCTGTATTTATTATACAGCTGAATGATGAAATTTACATAATTTTTTTCCTATGAGCATAAATTAGTGTTATGTAAAATAATTAATAGAAATTACAACTAAATTGATTAATATCACAAAACTAATCATAATTAGTATTTCTAATTATAAGTGTTTTTCATTATATCAACTCTCTACATAATTGAAATAGTGCTACAGATATCCTCCTTCAATTTACGAATATTTGGTTTGTTTTTTGCTATAACGTAATTAACTTTTATGGCCATGTTTTTCAATTTGCATTCGCATTTTTCACTAAAACACAAATTTATGTAAAAGTTATAAGAAAATTTTGCCCCTTATGAAACAATTTTTCACTGTCACAAATTTCAAATAGCTAAAAAAAATGCTATTTTGCTCTGTTACAACATTGAAATACCTTTAGTTACTAAGCTATTTCTCACTACTACATAATTCAAATTCAGTAGTAGATGATCCCTCGCTTGCCAGTAATCGCCATAGCCTCTCTCCATCCTCCCGTCACTTCAACAAGCAAAGCAACAACAACTTCTTGGTGAGTACAGCACACTAAATTTTGTATTTTATTAATAAAAATGTCTTCTTATTTCAAGTTTTTGTTTGTGTTAATTGTAACAGTATTTTTCTTACATTATAGCGGAAGAAAATGTTACATTAGTGTGGCCCAAAATTTTGGTCTAGGAACACATCCCCATTTTTTATCTTTAAAATAATGAGAAAAGCTCATTTTTGATTTAAGCTCTTTTGTTATACCTTACATTCTCCAAGAACATATCACTTTTATAAATTGAGGGATACCTGTATTATGATTTCTTATTATCTTCAATTAAATGAAGGTTGTTCAGTTTAATCAATTAGTTTCACAACTCAAAAATAATAAACTAATCAAAATTATTGTTTCCAAGCCTCGAGAAAATCATCAATTAGTTGAATGTAATCAATTAATGAGCCTAATATTAACTGATATCAATTTCCACTAATTGTCTAAATCTGGTATTTAAATGATAATAATGACAAGTAATACATGAACTACTTATACCTTTTGATTTGTAAGATATTTTGCAAAGTAAACTGTTTTTCCAGATGTTGAAGCTGTAGCTTCATTTAGCTTCCACTTTGTTGTACGCACATCATCTAGTTTGAAGCTACCAAAAGCTGACAAAACATCTGCAGAATACTGAAACAAATCAAGAGGTTTACAAAGTGATAATCTTTCATGTTCCATTTTACAAGTGAACATAATCTTATTGCTACAACAAAATTCAATAATTGCTATAGGTCAGTGAATTATAAATTTTAATGCTTGAAAACATCTAAAATGCATTCATGTAACAATAATTTTCCATTTTAAGAAAACGCATTAGAAAGCCATTTGGTGAATTTTCTTTATAGATCTTTATGCAAATTGTCTTTTTTTAACTGCTAAAGATTTCAAGCTGCCAAACACATTAATAAAAA